TCCTTGGTTCGCTTCTCTGTTTCCCGGTAGATTCGGCAGTAGAGGATGGTCATGACAGAAACAGGGATGTAGAAGGCAGCAATGGCCGTGCCAAAAGTGATGGTGGGCTCAGATAGGAACTGAATCTGGCACTCATCTGGTGGTACTGTCCGCTTCCCAACCAAGTACTGCCAGCAGAGAATGGCTGGGGCCCAGAGGATGAAGGAGATCAGCCAGGCCAAGCCAATCATGATGCCAGCCCGCTTTGGGGTACGCTTGGCCCGATACGTCAGGGGTCTTGTGATGGAAAAGTAACGATCAAAACTGATCACCAGAAGGTTCATGACAGAAGCATTGCTGGCCACATAGTCCAGTGCAAGCCAAAGGTCACAAGCCAGACTCCCAAGAGCCCAGCGTCCCATGAGGATGTAGGTGGTATAGAGGTTCATGGAGAAGACCCCGATGATGAGATCTGCACAGGCTAGGCTCAGCAGGTAGTAATTGTTAACTGTCTTGAGCTGACTGTTGATTTTGAAGGAGATAATGACCAAGACGTTGCCCACGATGGTGACTAGGCTGACCACAGCAGTCACAGCTGCGATAGTGATAACTTCCCATAGTTCATGGCGCTCCAAAGGCTGGTGATTTACCAGGGTGCTGTTAACCATGGTTGCATTGAAGTATGATTCACCTTCCATCCTGGTGCAAGAATTTGCATTGGGATTAATTCTTAGGTTCTACCTAGATGGCTCTCTGTTCTACCTCACCTCTTATTGGCCAGTATCTGGAAGAGAAAGAAACACATTAGCTCCTCTCACCAGCATGACTCTTTTCCACCCATTGTTTATCTTTTCTAACAGAATATCAAATGTGGTTGCACACACAGTTAGAGCAAGATGCTGAACTCTCTAAACTTTTGGTGATATTTTTATAAAGGCATTACCGTTTTTGCTTTTTATGATAATGCATGAGTGCTCTCCTTCTATGTGGACCTGCTGCCCTCTTGTGTCCACTTTTTGAAAAAGGACTGAGAAGATGTTGGAAAAGGAACAGGAGAGAACTGATTATCTGGGAGCAATAAGCAGGAATATTAAATGACCTTACATTGCAATAACCTCATAGCACAAAACCTGTTTTGTGAGCTTTGGGCAATTGTGGAGAGTGGTGACAGTGACTGGGAAACCAGTGTCTGAGATTGGGGTCCCTGATGACTTAATGGCTGTGGCATACTTGGTGACTGGGAAAGTTTTTGCGCAAAGGCATAGGCTGCCCAGTTGCTATGGAGATGTCCTCCATGCTAGAGTCTTATCAGCCTCAACCTTAATCTCAGGCACAGCAGCTCCTGGGAATGAAGGAACTTCCTTGCTAAGATAACAACATTTTACCAGTTCCGCTGCTCCTGAATCTACCCTCGAATTAGTAACTTTAAACAATGAACTTTCTAGAGAGCTGCATAATTCTCCTAACATTGCACATTGCAACTGTAGAATGTAACTGAGGAAATAGCTGTATACTGTTGCTAACTCTGTAACTTTCATGAATACAAAGAATAATGCCTGCATAATCTTTAATCTGATTTAGAGACATATATAATAAAGATTGCTGGTGTAATTCTTTAGACCTGCTTCTCCATCAGAGAGCAGCATTCCATCGGACCCCAGCTTTATCTTCAAGATCTGCGTGTATTGACTCTTGATTTCTTCCAATCTCCCGTAGCCCCTTGCTGGAACCTGATAGTTTGGCCGTGCTGGTTGGGACAGGTAATAAGTACCTAGACTGTGGTGAACTGGAGAAAAAGACAAACTGTATCTATTCTATAATTCCAATCTTAATTATTAGGGGTTACTGAGGCACTATTGTGAGTCAACATGGGATGCAACACTTCTCCCTGCCTGAATGTGCAAATTCCACATACAGACCTGGTTTGCACCTTTTGAAATTTGCCCACTCCTGAAGATAATAACCCTCTCTCCATTCTTGACTATTATCAATATCATAGAATTGTCTTATCTTTTTTTCCTGATTACATAAGTAATAACACTCCTCATAAGAGTTTAGTCAATATTAAAATCTAAATGTAGAAATGTTTCCTCTAATCTCATCTTGCTATTGGGTAACCAGTGCAATAAGTTTAGTGTGAATTTTGGCAGTTTTTTCCCCGCTATGCATATACTAATACCTATTTAGAGGTGCATTTTCTTTTTCTTTTTTCTTTTTGTTACCAGGGATTGAACCCAAGGGTATTTCCCCACTGAACCATGTCCCTAGCCCTTTTTTATAAACCAGAGACAATGAGCCTAATAGAAGAAAAAGTAGGCCCAAATCATATTGGATTAGGCTCCTACTTCCTTAAGAAGACTCCTGCAGGGCAAGAATTAAAATCAAGAATTAATAAATG